AAAACATATAGTCAAAGTACGAAATGTAGGTTATAGAGTGGGCTCAAGAGAAAGAGGCAGTTATTCAGCTTTTCGACCCTTAACTCAAATAATGATGCAACTCCAAGGGGTAGGTCACTCCGCACATCAATCTTGGGTCATCTTTTTTGTCAGTGTGCCTCAAGTGTGCAGCAGGTATGTCGATTGTGCCGGTCATAAAGGGTGATACGGTCAAAATTTGGTCAATATCAACTTGACGTATTTATTTCAATTTTGCATTTAAAAAAACCTGAACACCCCTCATTTTGAAGGTGTGTGTGTGTGTAGAATGTTGCTCCTATTTTGATTTTGGAATTCACTCTTCAGTTGTCAAAATGCCGTCCAAGCAAGAAGAGCAGCGTATCAAAATTTTGCTCGCGCATCGCGAAAATCCGAGCTACTCGCACGCAAAGTTGGCAAAATCGCTAAAAGTTGCCAAATCAACCGTTACAAATGTAATTAAAGTGTTTGGGGAACGTTTGTCGACAGCCAGGAAGTCTGGATCGGGGGGAAATCGAAAACCGGAAGCCGCTGAGACGACAAAGAGAGTTGCCGGTAGTTTCAAGCGAAACCCTAACCTCTCTCTCCGAGATGCCGCAAATAAGCTGGGTGTATCGTCTACAACCGTGCATCGAGCCAAAAAACGAGCCGGACTATCGACTTACAAGAAGGTAGTGACTCCAAATCGCGATGATAAACAAAATACGACGGCCAAAGCGCGATCCCGGAGGCTGTACACGACGATGCTGACGAAGTTTGACTGCGTGGTAATGGACGACGAAACCTACGTCAAAGCCGACTACAAGCAGCTTCCGGGACAGGAGTTTTATACGGCAAAAGGAAGGGGAAAGGTAGCAGATGTTTTCAAGCACATGAAACTGTCAAAGTTCGCAAAGAAATATCTGGTTTGGCAAGCCATCTGTACCTGTGGCTTGAAAAGCAGCATTTTCATAGCTTCCGGGACTGTCAACCAAGAAATTTACGTGAAAGAGTGTTTGAATAAACGTCTGCTGCCTTTCCTGAAGAAACACGGTTGTTCCGTACTGTTTTGGCCGGATTTGGCATCTTGCCATTGCGGTAAAAAGGCCATGGAGTGGTACGCCGCCAACAACGTGCAGGTGGTTCCCAAGGACAAGAACCCTCCCAACACGCCAGAGCTCCACCCAATTGAGAAATATTGGGCTATTGTCAAGCGGAACCTAAAGAAGACCAAAAAAACTGCTAAGGGCGAGCAGCAGTTCAAGGCAAACTGGCTTTCTGCGGCGAAGAAGGTGGACAAGGTGGCTGTACAAAATCTGATGGCAGGGGTCAAGCGTAAGGCCCGGCAATTCGGATTTGGAAAAGCGGAAGCCTAACTGAATATTTTTCCTGAATTTTATACTAATTGAACCTGAAAAAGAAATTTAATTTGATTTTTTAAATAAACAATTTCACCGATTTACACGCGTTTTTCCTTGACCAAATTTTGACCGTATCACCCTTTAGAGCAAGCTGCGATTGTTTGTAAAATACCCATCCTGGCAACCCGGTATTTTGACACTTTGAATGTTTTGGTTTGAAATCGCAAGAATAAGTTGGATTGAGGATGACGCGGGAAGTTGAGGGTGTGCGAAATTTCGGTGATTTGTGTGTATACAAGTCCTGTGTTTGAGTGCTTTAAAATGCCCTTAAAGGTAGACCAGAAACCTAGCTTTTCATGATGTGAAAAGCATCGGTCTATCAGCGGCCAGAAAGAGTTGGAACCGGTGGGGAGCATTGTTGGAGACCGACTATAGAGGATGATGAATAGACTGTTTTACTTTATTTTGCGTGAGTTGCAGCATTATTTGAATTAAGGGTACTAATGCGGTACTAACTGCCTCTTTCTCTTGAGCCCACTCTAGAGCCTACATTTCATATTTAGATCTACAGCTTTCCCCCGAAGAACGCATTACCCACTGAGTTGCACTCACCGCTTTGTCTCGGTGGGTTTTCAACCAAGCGCTCTGATTTTCTGTGAGTAACTAGTTCTCCATTGGCACTACTTACATGCAAAAAATCAGACCGACTGGTTGAAACACCGCCGAGAAAAAGCGGTGGGTGCAACTCAGTGGGTAGCTCGCTCTTCGGGGGATAGCTGTATAAGTGAACTGCTGGTCTGAGTTCCTCTTGTATACTCAATTAGAGGATGTTCCTGAAAATGCAGTCAATCAGCACGTAATGTTGTGAACAACTTCAACGACAGTTGTCCAGCAGTGCTCCCATTTTATTTACAACAATTCAATGCCTACAAGATTGTGCCGAAGGTATACCGATGGATGTGCCCAAGCTGTGCCGATGCTAATTTCGGCACAATGTGCTGAGTGACTTACCCCTTGTGCAACTCACACAAACCAAACTACAGTAGTCTATTCATAATCCTCTATAGTCGGTCTCCATCAATGTTCTCCACCGGTTCCATATCTTTTCGGCCGCTGATAAACCATTGTTTTTCACAGCATGATAGGCTAGGCTTCTGGTCTGCCTTGGAGGGCATTATAAAACCCTAAAACACAAGACTTTTACCATCCTATGAACATAAAACACCAACACCCGCCACTTCCCGCGTCATCCTCAATATGATGGTTCCTTGCGATTTCAAACCAAAACATTCAAGGTGTCAGAAATACCGGGTTGCCGGGATGGGTATTTTACAAACAATCGCAGCTTGCTCTATGACCGGCACACTGGCGGCACATTGACAAAAAAGATGACCCAATATTGGTGTGGGGAGTGACCTACCCCTTGGGTATTTCCCTGAAGCGTAATTGCTGCCGTTCAGCTTGGCAAACGTAACCCTCACATTATCAGCCATCTTTTCTCGCTTCGTTCAGCACAATCAAACCTTCCGGAAAACAGCTTTTCTCTATGAACATCCACTTCTTCCGAAACGGGCCCCGTAACCTGTAGGAAAATTACGACGGAAATATGGATAATATCAGCGGAAAACTCACAAGCGCGTAATACTCGAGAAAAGGAACAATTTTTATTAATAACGGTTTCTTTTAGGTAACATATTTTGACACTAAGGATAAAAGTATGTGAGAAACAAGGTTGTATAATATTCTTCTCTACGGCTCAAAGAGCGAGGGGCGACACAGTGGTTATTCTTCTCCCCTAGAAACCCTAGAAACTGCTACTGTTTGTTAGATAAATACCAACCGGTGGAAACTAACGATTTCAAATTGGCTCACTAGTTGACTAGTCTATTGGTCCCAAGCAAATCGATTAACGTACCCCATTCTAGTCGAAATTCTAGTACCACACTATGTTTGTTTTGATTCGCTATGAAAGTTTGACAGATAAAATGAGGGGTTCGTGGATTTTTCTATGTTTCGAGGGGTGCATCGATTAGCCTCGGGACCGAAGATAGTACCAGAGCTGAGCCAAAAAGTTGAGCACGTTTCTTCGGGACCTAGTAGTCTTAAGCAAACCCCACACGTATCAATATATTGACGCGAAGAGGAATTATTGACATTAATATTGATGATGTGAATACAGAAATATTGTCAATACCGATGTATTGACGTCAATATTGAATGTATTGACAATACGATTATTGTCAATAAAAGCAATCGTGTACGGTCTACATTAGAGTTACCTCTATGGAAATACTTTCCAATGGGTATTCACCCTTCTTATAATCACATGCTGTTCTTTTGAGATACAGGCATTTCCCAAATAGCGCGATGGATGGTGCCATCCACCGCAATTTCTCTACTATCCTCTATCCAATTGAACAGCATTCAATGTTTCATAAAATAATTCAATGAAAATTAAAAGAAAAATAAAGGAAAGATCTCACCCGATGTTGCATAGAAATCCATGACATCACGATGATTTCGAAGATCTCCCATAGATATGCTGCCGCTACTTCAACCGGTGTTAAAAATAGCACTCTCGCCTTTCGTTCCTCATACAGCAACATAAACCCTCATCTTCTTCTTCATTCTAGTCTTCATTCCTTTATTCTACGTCGGTCTCTGTTCCGCAATCTAGTACCAATCACCGACGGACATCGATTACCATCTATTGACGGCAATCGAATGTGCAGGTAGGCAGCTTCTACACCTGCGTAGGATATTGCACCAATTCAAACACACATGGGCCGGAACCAACGACTTTACTATCCTTCCGAAGGAAGACGTAACCAGAGATTTTTATGCCTCAGAAAAATCCCACCGACCTCGGCTGGGATTGAACCCTGGCCCATTGGGGTGAGAAAGCAGTAACGCTTACCACTACACCACCGGCGCCGGCATAAACCCTCATCAACCAGGAAACACACTCTAGTTGCTCGAGGTAGAGGGACCTCAGCAGATAAAAAAAGGACTGCGTCCAGTTTCCATCACCAATCACTCGCCGCGACACAATGGCTTCAGTTCGCCAGTACACAGTGTTGTAAGACGCAGTTCCTCACCGGCCGAATCAACTCACGGCCAGCGACTGCAAACAAACGCGTCTAATAGCGACCACGGCACACTTCGATAGCATTTCAGAAAGACAACCTCAACGCTGAAAGCCAAACGTGAACTGCTTCATAAGACCTTCCAGAAAATTTCCCAAACCATCTTCTTATAGTCCAAGAATCAACCAGCACACACACGCAAGCAAAAGAACGTTAGAATTCCATAAGAAACACTTTTGAATTTTAGCCACAAGAAATCAGTATGAATTTCATTGATTTGCTTTATGAAAAATAATGTTAACAAAAAATAATAAATCGGAGCAGACTGGAACCTGTATGTCTGTATGTTGACCACTCGTCTTTCAACGCTTGGAACAATGGAATGGTTGAAGGCGTACAAGAGCTACCTCATGTTACCCGAAAATCATTCATAAGTCACGCTTATGAAATTCATATTTGTTGTTCATAAGTCGAGCCTTATGAAATTCTTAAGTCTATTCGCCTCAGTGTATACATAACTTATAAAACTCTCGCTAATCTCCTGCTACCTTTACAGGTTTCACCCATGTCCCAAACTGGCAGCAGGCATCTGTCCAGCAGATGGAATGCCACGATCAACCCATGGACACGGTTTCAGCTCAGCAATTCAATGGATCTCCGATGACCATGAACGCAGCTACCACCACCTTCAACGGTTTCCAGCTGCATCATCATCATCATCAACACCAAGCATTGATCACATCCCCACCGATGCCAGCCGCACCGCAGTCGCAAACAGTCCTGCAGCCGAAAAGTAAATATACCGAAACAAGTCGCTGCATGATGTCCCACATGATCTAGGACCTTACAGCACAGCTGTACACCAAGGGCGGTTCTGTACTTTGACCCAGCCCAAAATGGGTCCAACAATGCAATGCCTTCTCTCAACGTTTGGAAGAAGATTTTAGCTCAATTGTATTCTAACACTTTTAAGGACTTGCACTAATTCCACCCGTAGGTTAGATCCCCACACACTCCCCCCATCACCACCCACTTAATCTAATTTACACCCTGCGCCCACCCTTTGATTTTTGAAACATTTCTCTCTATATTGTTCTTTTTCCGCCTCCTGCAGATCGTTTGTTCGGTGGTTGTTCACCTTCCCCCATGCCACTGTTGCTGGGGTCCCAACTAGCGGAAAAACACACCTACCGTCAGATTCATCCCAATCGCTTCGGTGACAACTGCCAAGAGCTCGAGGATTTATTCATCAGCTTACATGGGTCCGGGTTTTATCTATCGTGTTGAATTGCCTGGTGTTTCCTAACAGGTGGCGATTTATGACGCTCCCTCTCACACACACACACACAACTAACCATGTCCATGATAAATCCAATTATGTCTTTATTACTAGTGTAAATAGTTTGCTGTAGGGATAAGTTCGACTAACACATTTCTTTAACGCCAGTTCAAATCATTGTACCTTTTTTTCCCCCATCCACAAATGTTCAAAAAATGTCCAACGAAAATGGAACTACCTAACCTTATTATTCATTAGTCTTAGTTTTTTTTTTTAGTTTTATTCCTTCAACCTGTGCAACTAGTTTGTAAGAATTTAATACAATCTCGGATGAACTTTTGTTATCTGATAGTGCTAACTTTTGACTTACAATTAAATAAATGAATACTAGATACCTATAACAGAGTACTAACATAATGGCACATATCATCGTTCAAGAAAGTGCTGGAACAATGCTACAATTACGACTTAGGGGAAGAGGGAGAGCGATAGAATATCGGGGATAACTTGTCTGTGAAAAATGCAATGTAATGTGCTTTTAAGTGATTAAATAAAGGATTTTTTTTTGTGTCTTAAAACAATGCTTGTTTGCCATTAGTTATCCGATCCGAAAGCAGTTCCGGTACGACTCTGAGTGCATTTGATTCTGAACACACTCTTATTGTTTATTACTCATCAAATTTTAATAATTGAGCGGTTCCATTTATTCTTGTATTTCTTGATTTGGGTGAAAATTTGCAGAAACGTTCCATTTGTCCACAAGTGCAATTTGAATCAAGTCTTATTTTTCAAAAGGACCTATGAGCAATTCTTGCTGAATCCGACCCACTTTTTGCACGAGTTTCTCAATAACCAACTTTTTTCTAGTTCTTCCTAGTTATGAAACGAGTTCTAGTTAGAACTCCCCTTATTGTTTATATATCATTGAAAAGGGGAAAATCAGGGCTTTCATTTGGGGAATTCGGCCGCCACATTGGATTTTTCCTTAGAAATGCGTTTTTCATGAGCTTACCTCCCATTGATTTTGAAAAGAAGCTGACCATTTTTTTTTTTTTTTGCTTAATTAGTTTTTCGTCGATTTTGTTTTCCGTGCTGAACACCAATGCTACCGATGCCAGGGAGGCAGTTCCCGCACCTGGACCCTACCTATAGACCCATCAACTCATGAACCGGGGACCAACGGCTTTACTTCCCTTCGTAATCAGAGATTATGCCTCAGAACATCTCGGCGGCGCCGACTGGGATTGAACCATATTAAACTGAGTTTAATGTCAAATTGATTTAAATTTCAAGCAAAATGGGAATTGTTCAATTTATCAGTGTTGCGAACGCCCCTCGTCCGACGCCGCACCTACCCGTTCACCTTATTTACGCAGCAACGCTGGATCAGTCCAATGAGATACAGACAGAGGTAAAGCAGATCGTGAAATATGGTTGTATTAGTAATCCAAAAAATCAACGTAAGCGCAAGTAGTGACGTCACTAATTGCTTGTATCGTACAGGGGTTTTACTCACACAACTTAACCGATTGCTTCACCTCGGTAATCCAGCTCATTGGGATCAGTCATCGTGCGTAGAGTGAAGCTGGCTGCGGTCACCAACGGACAGGAGGAGCCCTGGGGGGGGGGGGGGGATGTGCTGTCAAACCAGCCTACTGATCATCTTGTATGAAACTGGTTCCAAACGTAAACAAACGCTGTAGGTTTCTTATGGCTTGTTTACGTTTGGAACCAGTTATGCGAGGTAGGCGACGATTGTTCGTATTTGACAGCCACCTCCCCCCCCTTGGAGGAGCCGTCAATCAATCCGTGAACCTCACGGTAACCGCAAAATACCCAATAATGACTACAAAGTAAGCATTATCGAGGAAGACTGGGACTACCCATTAAATGAGTAAAATTTTACCCATTTATGAGTAATTACAACTACAAAAACAAATAGTAAGTATTCATTTTTGAGTAACAAATACTCATAAATGAGTAATATTTTTACTCATTTAATGGGTAGTCCCAGTCTCCCTCGAAAATGCTTACTTTGTAGTCATTATTGGGTATTTTGTGGTTACCGTGCGAGGAAGAAACGTCAAGGGAAAAGTGCAAAATAATCATCAACGAGTGAGGTGGAAAAAGTTTTCTTAATTCAGTTACTTAAAATATAGTTAATACCTTGTACAGACAAAAGAGCTACTAAACTATAAATAGAGGAAGAATAGCGCTGCCGTCGCTGTCGAAACCTCTTTTCCTTTACATCTAATAGGGACACAACTGTCAAAGCGAGAAAAAACTATGCAGTTTGACCACAAACGAAGTGACAGACGGAGCGGCTCGAAGTTTGATTTGACGCACTTTCATTTGAAATTTTCGAGTGTACCTCACGGCAACACTATCTACTCATATGTACTAGCTTAAAGTAGTTGATGCTATTGGGGCACCGCCTGTTATCTCTTTTTCTCTAACGAAAATTGAAAGGGAAAGCCTGTTGTCAAACAGCATGTCACTATGTTGTGTTCATTGTTATCTGCACTTCTTTTGTATAATGGAAGACCATAGGCCGAAATGATTAGGGGTAAACACATCGAGTTAACACTTGCTTAGAAGTAAACGATGTTGAGCTGTCAATGACTCGCGCTTGTTGGCGGCAATTGTTGCTAAAGATTTCATCAGTCGGTGCTCCTAACCAAAGCCACGGTCATTCGCGACCGAGAAGACATCGTTGTTGGACGCCAAACAGGACCTGCCCGTAAAAAAAACCAATGATTTTGAATGGAGATTTTTGTTGATTAGGGGTAGGAGGGGCATAGTGAGCATTCCGCACTTTGGCTCTGAATCTCCAGCTGCATGAAACAAATCAACTGATAGTAGGTTGATATTGATCCTACCACCAACCAATTTGTTCCAAACAGCCGGAAGACCAAGTTGGGGCATGGGATCCTCACTATGCCCCTCTTACCCCTACACAGCAAAAAAAAATGTAATATCGATCAACGTAATTCAAGCTGATGTATGAAATATTGATGTAATAGCAAAAAGCAAATACAATATTACATCAATGGATGTAATTTTGTTCGCAAAATCGATGTACATCGTACAATGTGATATTACACAACCGATGGATTGACCTGGTTGCAGCAGTTTCGATGTAATATTCAACAACTTTTTTTGCTGTGTACCATAAAATCACAACGAAAATCGTGGTATATGAGAAATGTACAGTAAAAAAGGGGGGTTGTTAAGCATCCTAACAATAAAAAAATTGATTTTTCTCGAACAAATTTGATCTCATCAAATTAATTTTCATTGATAATTGTTTCGTTAAAAACGAAATTTATTTTTTCTCCCGTCCAATAATTTAACAATAAATTTTTAATGTGCCCAAAATTCAACCGTAAAAATCATTTGATTTCGTTATTTAATTATATTTTTTTGCGGCCATACTCGGTATGCATTCGCTCCTCCGTAGCGGAACCGGAAGCTCTCGACGAGGGCGATCTGAAGGAGGAAAATTTACTCCAAAATCATGTCGAGATCCATCGAATCAAAGAGGCGATCGACGTGCTGGAGGTGAGAATGAAGGAGGATCGGATGGAACCGATTTTTTTTTAAATTTATTACGGCTAAATATGCTGTATGTCAAGCGTTTGAGCATGATTGCGGTACGATGCTCTATTCTGAACCGGTCTACTAGACGTGAAAAAACTAGTCATTATATTGCGCATTTCACACCAAATTGGACTAATAAGCGCGTTTTCACTTATTAAAAAGTGTGATGAAACTGCAAGTTTACTTCTAATCGTCTTGGTGTCTTCGGTGCACTTATTTCTTATGATGCAAGCTATAAGTGCTCCGAAGACATCAAAACGATTTGACGGAAACGTGCACTTTTATCACACTTTTTGCATTTTTGGGACAGTCCAGTTTCAGATGCAATCAGCAATACCTGCTACGTGTATCTTGTTACCTGAAGACGAGGAGGGAATCTTCGGATACATGGAGGAGGACTTCAGAAATGAGGAAGCTCGTATGCGAGGACAAAAGTCTGCAAGAAACGGTATGCAAACGTTTTGTGTTGCGTGAAGAAGTGCTTCCGTTCATTTCATACGCTTTGTGGGATGCAGAATGAGTGCCTGTCGCATTACGTGGATACGTTCCAGTCGTGGTGCGATAAGCACGTAGTGCTGGTGGGTAAGGTGAAATACTCCGAGACCGAAAAGACGAACCACAATAGACAGTGACGACAGCGATTCCGATCTGGTTTCTAAACGAAAGAAACCAACGTCGAAGCGACGACTGTCCACGTCTTCGTCTAGTTCTTCCTTGCTCGTTTCTTCGAATGGCGAATAAATCAGTTTGGAGGAACTGGTCAAGAAAATTCCACTCGAGATTCCACTGCCACAAGGAACTTCTGTCGAAAAATTGCTTCGAGCCAAACCGGTCGTAAGGCTCGAGAAGCTCAGCTCGGAAAAGATCAAATCGTTGACTTCTTCGGACAATGAAGACGAAGCATCCTCCTCCGGATCGTCAACCGTGAGGTCATCCGTTCCGACACGGACACGCTAACGGATGCCTCGGTGGGACAGGAAATCGTGCGTCCCAAGACGCATTACAGAAATCTTTTGAAAAGCTAATTGATTTTTGGGTCGAAACCCGTTCCAAGAAAACGGTCCCTCAGCGAGTCTGATACGGAGTACGTTACAGCGAAGAAAATTAGGTTGATTTAATTTTAATGGCGACCTTCCTTAGACGGCGAATTTTCCAGCGCTAGTCAGGTCTTTCCCACGGCGCAGTAGATTACTGCCAACGGTGCCACCTCAGTGGGAATGCGATTCGAAACCGGGTTGACGTTGATGCTCAAAAGTGACAAAATGTTCCGGATTTCACATATTAAGCGAATGTCAGCTGGTATCACGTTGCTTGCAGGTACTGAGGGAGAACCTTCCAAAACTTCTAGTGTTTGGACTGGTGGTATAGAGATTGCTAAAGTATGATTGTGTTAGTGATTTGTTTTCATCGGGAAAATTTTCCGCTATGAAGTTTTTTTTTCTCCCGATGAAAACATTTTGCGTATACGTATACGTGACGTAGTGTGCGTACGATAAACGTCAGCAATCACTATGACACAAATAATGCACCTGAAACTGACGGAGAATCGCAAGTGCTGTGATCAATGTGATTGGTCAGGCAGAAGGAAACAAGTCAGCACTTTCATTATCACGACGTTCTTATGCATAATCTACACAGCAAAAAAAGTTGTTGAATATTACATCGAAACTGCTGCAACCAGGTCAATCCATCGGTTGTGTAATATCACATTGTACGATGTACATCGATTTTGCGAACAAAATTACATCCATTGATGTAATATTGTATCTGCTTTTTGCTATTACATCATTATTTCATACATCAGCTTGAATTACGTTGATCGATTTTACATTTTTTTTTGCTGTGTAGTGTGACGAAACGTTGGATCATGCGTAAGAACACCGTGAGAACGAAAGTGTCGACTACATTCCTTCTGCCGCACCTATAGTAACGCACACGGTTCCCGCGCTGACTGTTCCTTACTTTCT